TGTGCTGGTTGTATTTTAACCACACTTGTCCTTCTTTTGTGTGTCTGCCCTGTAAAATTAATTGACAGCCCAATTTTACTGACCTCAGCAAAATGGCTTCTTTGAAAATGTCAGTTTCCCACCAAATCCATGTCACACTGGTGTACATCAGATGTGTGCCAACTTCTCTCCGTGGCAGCCACAGAACTTCTCTACAAAGAAGAACCATTCACAGCCTCTATGTTGTTCTGACAGTCACAGAGGTGCAGAGACAGTTCCCATATTTTTGAGCACCTAAAAATCTCACTATTGTCTTATCAGTCACAAACTGGACCAAAGGGGTGGGATTACAACTTCTAGCCCCCCTCAACTGAAAGACAGCAGAGCGAAACTCAAGGGTGCATGACAAATGGAGCATTGTCACACATTATTTTTCATTGTTAACTGTGAGCACCATGGACACTTGTACTGCAGGCGGGCCCTTTAAAGGAGCCTTGCTTTCAATGATCTGTTATGCATTAGAGCCGCATCAGCTCACCCCAGTTATGTCATGTGCACAGTAGTTAGATTGAGAAACAGTGGCACCCTTTTCCCATGAGTATAACTTAGTGGTGGTGAGCAGCAGGTGATTCCACATTTCCACATTGTTTAACTACAGATCAAAGTTCTGTTATATGACAAAAGTAGTCAGTAGAAACTGCAAGTTAAAGGCCTTCCAAAGACTTCTGGTATTTATATTCTACAGATATTCAGATATACTGTATGATGTATAATGGAATATGTCTGTGTAATGGGAGAAGTGTTGGTGAGTTTTGTCATGCTTTTAATAACTTGGGCTCTCTGCTCGGTTTTCACATACACTGCAGTCTATATGAATGTGGCTAGTGACAGTTCCTCAAGTTTGATTTTCTGCACATCAGCACAGTTTTTGAAATGAAACTGTGACTGTGAGGGCCTTGAGGTTTGAGGGTGCTCTGGAGAACTGAAAGTCCACATTTACTGTTGTACTTTCAGCATTTTCAAATATTTTACTCTTTATTTCCTTGCAGACTCTACATTGCACAGGTTTAACCCTCTGAACCTCAAAATGTGACAGTGAGTTTGAGAGCCATATTACCAATATAAAAATCCATATTTGTCAGAGCCAGGAACTATAAAAAAAAACAGACAGACTAATTTCAGGGGTTTGTCTAAATAATGTTACAGCGGCGCTGCACCCTCATACTCCCGGCTTGCGCACTCTTACCAAAATGCCGATTGAACCCTACTAATAATTGAGCCATGTTCTTACATGCTGCCGTACAACATGCAATCTTCATGAAAACCATCTTCTCGGCCGTGAAAACATCCCAGCACCATCGCAAGACAATGTATCTGATCATCAAAAACGTTATAATGACTCCAGCATATTCCGATTGCAGTAGATAAACCATTAGACGGTGCAAAAAACGATCGAAATTGGCGTTTCCATGCCGAGGCGCCATATTTTTTTGGTGTTAGCTGCTCTCGCAAGATTACGTATAGGTTAAATGCAAGGTCAGCTGACCTACACAGCGAGATTTCTCAAGACTGAATGACCTTTCACCCACATGTATGATACAGTCTTACTCCATGACATACTCAGGTTAGTGTACAGCATAGGGTCTTGCTCCCTGACACTGTTACACTGGTTAAAGTACATGTATGTGTATCATGGTGCAGTACGAGCATGTAAGAACATTCCAAGTACTAGTAAATAGAAGTTTTGCCAATACTAGTATTTGTCATGTTTTCATTTACAGAGTACAGTTGTATTACAATTCTAACCAAACAACATTTGCTCAACAGTTGATAATATCTTTATTTCTGAAGTTTCATGAGCTCAAATTTCCTCTTTCAGATAGCCTCGGAATTTCCCATTTAAGCTTCAATTTTTCAACGTCAACAGTTTTTCGCCGTTTTGTTATTCTACATTTCTCATTAGCAAACTGTTTCATCAAAACAATCCTTAATGTAAAAAAAATAAAATAAAATAAACGTCCTAGTATGTGGAGTTTCCCGTTCCAAAGCTAATTTTAGGAAGAGCTGTGGCAGTCAATTGTTGATGCAGCACAAAACTAAATTTTGATATTAAAAAAAAAAACCTAAGATGTTTCTGCCCACAATACAACTTTGGTTGGAATTGAGTAGATAGTAGAACCTGGGGCGGCAGAGCTTTCTCTGTCGCCGCCCCCACCCTCTGGAACTCCTTACCACCAAACATCGGTAACTGCCCAAACCTGTCCACTTGCAAATCACTCACCCAAACTCACCTCTACAAAAATGCTTTTAATGTATGATTTTGTTCTTTTGCATGTTGTTTTTATTCACTGTGCAGCGTCTTTGAGCTATCGGAAAAGCGCTTTATCAATTAAATTTTTTATTATTATTATTATTATTATTATTGTTGTTGTTGTTGTTGTTATTATTGTTATAGTAGGGCTGCAAGGTGACACGGTTGTCTGTAGGTGCGAATGTGAGTGTGCTTGGTTGTCTGTCTCCAAGTGCAGCCCTGCGATAGACTGGTGACCTGTCCAGAGTGTCCCCTGCCTTTGCCCTAAGTCCACTGGGATAGGCTCCAGCCCCCCCATGACCCCAGTGAGGATTATGCGGTGTATAGATAATGAATGGATGGATGGATGGATGGATGGATGGATGGATGGATGATAAACTGTAGAATTAAATTTGTTAAATTTCTGTAAAAACAAAAATTAAAAATCACCATAAGCTGATTGACATGATTACAAGTTTGAACTTTTTCTTGAGGTTTCTGGGATATTCAGTACAAAAAAAATAGCCACATTCTGTTAGAAAAAAAAAAAGCACTGACTAGAAATGTGTACGTCTTCCAAGCTTGATACCTCTAGTTTTTACTCTGATTGTTATTCAATTCAATTCAATTCAATTCAATTTTATTTGTATAGCACAGTCTACAACATATGCCATCTCACAGCGCTTTTTATGAATTAGGTTGCGTTATTTTGTCAGATTTCACAAAGTTGCTCCTGGCCCGCTGTGGCTCAGGCGGCAGAGCACTGAATTCTACAGTCCGACAACAAATACCAGTCCTGTTACCTGCTGCCAGTATCTTTCCAACGGTTTCAGTGGAACATGCACAGCAGTAACCAGAAGGACACGCCTTGGCAAGGGGAGACTGAAACACACAGACATGGAGCATTCTCAAACTTTTGCACTTTAAAAAAAATAAAAAATAAAAAAAATTCTTTAACAGGCTTTTTTGTCAGAGCAGTGAAAGACAGACAGGAAAGTGGGGAGAATAATGGGGAGCGACATGCAGCAAATGGCCATGGGCGAGAGTCGAACCCATGACCACTGTGTCGGGGACTGTGGCCTCAGTTTGTTCTTATCCAGTTGAGCTACCAGGGCACCCTGCTTTTATACATTTTTAATTGTCTGATATACAAACTGCTGACATCTGGTTTTTAATCTAGCACCAACAGCTTACACAGAGTTCAACTAAAGCAAAAAAAGAGATAGAAGAATGAAATGTAATCATACAGGAATGGCTCAGGTAAATCTAAACACAGGAACGTGGTTTGTATATTTTTGGAGAGTTCCTGTTTCCGAAATTCTGAATGAATACCTATAGGTCTGCTTGGAAATCATAGAAAAGGATGTTTTGAAGAATTTGACAAATTGTAAGGCAAAATGTTCTTGCCTGGAACCGTATGGCTCAAGCTGTTGCTCTAAATCCAAGGCATAATTATTCTTTCTGTGATCATGAAAGAGAACTAATAAGCCAACATATTTCTGTTTTTGTATCCAGATTCCGGTATTACCAGAACGTTTGCACTTCTAGCTATTCCTTTGCATGGTGGGACTGGCCAAGATGGGAGAGAGAAATTGACTGGATGGCACTCAATGGAATCAACCTGCCGCTGGCTTTCACCGGCCAAGAAGCCCTTTGGCAAGAGGTAAGATCTGCCCTGTTAGCCTTAAAGTGACATTTTTAACTCTAAAAACAGCTCCTAGTGTTTATTATTTGCTCCTGTGAAGCTAGTTTTAAATATATAGATATAATATACAGATATATTTGGTTTAACAAATATTAAGCAGTTTTTAATAAAATGAATGATTTTGTTTGAGTAGCTAGAGTAGATACAGTATACAACTGAAATGAGTACACTGCTGTGCGATATCACTTCAATATAAAAATATTTAAAATTGTACTACCTCTCAATAATTGTCGTATTTCTAGGTTGAACAGTACAGTGTTTCCTGTAATGAACAGTCAGAAACAAATACTTAGGAAAGACAATGTTAAAAATACAGTCTCCACAATAGGAATTCAATGCAACAAAAGTGACCCCACCGGGGCGCCCCTACATCTCACTTAGCTGAACAGCGACCAATGAACAAGGCTATAGTTCCCCCACGCAGTGGTCGTGGGTTCAACTCCTGTTCACGACCCTTTACTGCAGGTCTCTCCCGTTCTTCTCCCCCTTTTCTGTCTATCTCTACTGCTCTAAAAATAAAGGTAAAAGGCCAAGAAATATATATTTAAACAAAAAAACATGACCCCACCTGTGATCACTGACACAAGTTAGAAAACATGTCTGCATCATGGCTCCACGTGGAAAATAAATAGCCAGAGAAATTGGGGGAAAAGAAATGTTAGATGATCTTTTGGTATTTTAAAGAGAAAGGTAGAGGGACATAACCTGCCCAGAAAAGACTCACTGAAACAGTCTTTGAAGAATGGCAAAACATATTTCCAGAAATTAGTGCAGCACTGATACCATCCATGCAGAGGAGGACTGAGTCTATCATCAAAAAATAAAGGAGAAAAAATGAAATATTTGTGTCTTATCAATAAACACTGTGCTAACTTTTGTTGCATTAAGTTCCGACTGTGGGGCCTGTGCTTTTACTATAGGAAACCTAAATAGTTCATTTTTATTTTTGATACAATGTAAATACCTAATGTTCAACTTAGAAATAATGCCATAAGGCCAGGTTCTACAATTTTGAATCATTTGACATCTAAGTGATGCTGCAAAGGGGTGTAATCACTTTTGTTGAGCAGTTGGAGGAAGAAGAGGAAGGTGGATGGATGACATGGAGCAATTAAGACAAGAGCAGGAGGTGAAACCTCTCCTACTTGACATTTGAAATGACAGATTATTAGAAGCAGATACATACTTGGATATCTTTACGTGTGCAGCAGCAAGTAACCATGACCTCATCAGCTTGTTGTGTGTCTTTAGGTGTATCGTGCTCTAGGCTTGAACCAATCAGAGATTGAAGAGTTCTTCTCTGGCCCAGCATTTCTTGCCTGGAACCGTATGGCAAACATGTTCGAGTTTGGTGGACCTCTGCCGCAGTCCTGGCATGTGAACCAGCTCCTTCTTCAAGTACTGAAACCTACACACCTGTCAACACAGTTTGAATTGTCTAGAAAACCAAAGCATTTCTGACTTTGACACCCCACAGTCGTAAAATCATGAACTGAGACTGAGACTCGGCAAGTAGACTGCAGTAGTTTTTACCTGGATTGTTTGAGGTTTTTATGAGCAGAAACTTCTCCAGAATCATTCATCAAATGTCATCATCCTGCCACCTTTCTACATAGAGTGGCTGAACAGAGTGACTTTAACGTGAGTGTTTTGCTCTAACACTTAGTTTAAACTTCAGACAATTTCAAATTTAGGTTTATAAATAATATGCACTTTTTACAGTTCTTAACGGTTGGCTCTATTTTATCACACCTTTGGTTTTGTTGCTATGCTGTGAATTGGCGCAATATAAATAAAACCAAATTGATGTATCTGTATCGGCAGCCGATACAGAGTCATGCAGACTAAAACCACCAGACACAAAAACAGTTTTTATCCCACTGCCATAACCCTACTGAACAGGTGAGCCACTCCAAGCCACAACTGCTATATGCACTTTCATTTTGCACTAATGTACATATACATTTTCTACTGGATGTGTAAATTCTTGTATATATTTGTCTTATAATCTTGTTTATTTTTTATTAATATTTATTGTATTTTATTCTTTTTCTTTCTGTGGTTATTTTACTTTATTTTATTTTTTAAATTTTCCTATTTCTATTATTCGTGTAAATTCCTAGGGCGACACCAACAGCCCAAACCAAATTCCTTGTATGTCGTGTACGTACTTGGCCATTAAAGCTGATTCTGATTCTGATTCTGATTCTGAAACCTCTGCCTTCAGGTAAACAGGGTGTTGAGCAAAATAGCTTATATCATAGAAACTGGTATAAGCTCCCTACCGCATTTCCAAACCCAGGTTTTTTTTTTTGTACTTGAAATTTTGAAAAACTTTAAAGTGTAGAATTCTGACTGTGACTCCTCATTTCCCTGAATCTCTATAACAGGTGCAGACAAGGCAAAGTCAGCATGACCCATAGAGACACAAAAGCTACATGAATACACCATGTTGAAAAACAAAAACTAAATGATCCTTTAGGAGCTTTTTAATATCACTGTTTTCATGGCTGAGATCTTTGGTGATCAATATTTTCTCTTGTCCTCACATTTTGCAGGTTAAAATCTTAGAGCGAATGAGATCCCTTGGCATGACCCCAGTGCTGCCAGCCTTCTCTGGGAACATTCCCAAGGGAATCCTCAGGTGACTCATGTTTCTTCATGTATCAGTATTTCACAACAAAACACATTTTTTTTCTCTATACACAAGGTTATTCAGACTTAGAGACTGGAGACTGATACCAGCAATAATATCTGAAGATGTAAATTAAATCTGGAAAGGTTAAAAACAAATATTAATTTCTTAACAAAAACAATAAATGTAAAATTTGGTCATATATTAGTCCGTTCGTTGCTTTACTTTAAATAGCTAGTCTGTAAATATTTGTTCTAGAGACAGTAGTGTCACAGGCAGATGCAAATATCAATATTTCAGTCAACACCTATGCTTTGCTTTGCGTTTCAGGCTGTATCCAGAAGCCAATGTAACCAGACTGGGGCCTTGGGCTCAGTTTAACTGCAGCTTCTCGTGCGCCTACATCTTAGACCCAAGGGACAAACTTTTCCTCCATATTGGCTCCCTTTATCTGTCCCAGGTGGTAAAGCAATTTGGAACAGATCACATCTACAACACTGACACCTTCAATGAGATGACTCCACCTTCCTCTGACCTCACCTACCTGTCTTCAGTCAGCCGCTCTATCTTTGCCGCAATGTCTGCAGGTGATTGTATGGGTGATAAACAACCTGTTCATATTGCAAGGTTGAAACCTCGCAGTGCTGATCAGCTGTCGGAATGCTAATATTTTCAAATCAAGTACAATAATTGTCCTGTTGTGATGACCTGTGGATGACCTGTTGTTCAATTCTCTTTCACAGACAAGCTCCCTGCTGATTTTTAGCCATGCTTCAAAGCTGTGCTATTGTTGACCCTCATCCAAATCTCTTATTTTGTCCCCACAGTCGATCCTCAGGCAATTTGGCTAATGCAAGGCTGGCTCTTCTTCAGTGATTCAGCATTCTGGAAGCCACCCCAGATTCAAGCTTTCCTTCATGGAGTGCCCCTTGGACGAATGATAGTGCTGGACTTGTTTGCAGAGACCGAGCCAATTTATTCCTACACAAACTCTTTCTATGGACAGCCCTTCATCTGGTGTATGCTGCACAACTTTGGGGGCAACAGTGGTTTCTTTGGCACAGTTGAGAGCATCAATTCAGGACCCTTCAAAGCCTTGCATTTCCCAAACTCCACCATGGTAGGCATTGGCATGACACCTGAGGGTATTGAGCAGAATCCTGTGATATATGAGTTGATGAGTGAGCTGGCTTGGCGCAAGGAGCCTGTCAATTTGGCCAAGTGGGCATCCTTGTATGCAGTGCGCCGCTATGGCAGCATGCAAGAGAACATAACTGCTGCATGGAGGCTCCTGTTTGCTAGCGTTTACAACTGCACAGTGCCACATTACCGAAACCACAACCACTGTCCACTGGTCCACCGACCTTCCTTTCACATGAACACTGGCCTTTGGTATGACCCGAAAGACTTGCACAGAGCCTGGAAGCTCATTATGGACGCAGCTCCTTCTCTTATGTCCAAGGAGACCTTCCGATATGATCTCGTGGATGTCACTCGGCAGGTCCTACAAGTCTTGACGACATCCTTTTACCAAGATATCACAGATGCCTTCCAGAAGAAAAAGTTGCCAGAGCTGCTGACTGCAGGCGGTGTGCTGGTCTATGACCTCTTGCCTGAGCTTGATCGTTTACTGAGTAGTGACCCCAACTTCCTGCTGGGGAGGTGGCTGGAGCAGGCAAGATCCATAGCCCTGGATGAGAAGGAGGTGCAACTCTATGACATGAATGCCAGAAACCAGGTCACTCTGTGGGGTCCCAGTGGGGAGATCCTGGACTATGCCAACAAGGAATGGGGAGGCTTAATGGAGGACTACTACACCCAGCGCTGGGGACTGTTTGTCCAAACACTGGTTGAGTGTCTGAACAGTGGACGACCATTCAAGCAAGACACTTTCAACCAGGCAGTTTCTCAGGTAGAAAAAGGATTCATTTTTAACGGCAGAAAGTACCCGACCAAACCTAAGGGAGACACATACGAGATTGCTCACAGGATCTTCCTCAAGTACTACCCACAGGCCTTAAAAAGACTATAGTGAGAACTATAGACTACGTTCTAGAAAAACTTAAAACACAGCAAGAAGAATGTGTTCCTTCACCTTCAGTTTTCCATGGCTATTCCCAAACATTTTGATGTGGAAACTACAGGAACAATCTGTTTTGCACATAAAGTAAAATCTGCTGTAAAGAGCTGTGCATGTTGTGGGGATATTATGTTTACTTATGCATAGATGTCTCTGTGAAAGTGTTTGGTTTGGAATTTAAGCTCTTGGTACTTTCTTTTGATTCCGCTCACATTAAAGAAACTGATTGTACACATATTCCCCATTTCCGAGTGAGATGATATGATTGATATCAGTCTCCAGTCAATATATTCAGCACAGAGATCAGAATGTGGTTAACCTAGCTTAGCATAAAACATGGACCCAGGGAAAACGGGTAGCCTGCCTCTGTCCAAAGTAGGCATGCAAATTTTAAACAATTTTCTTAACTGTTAGTCGGCAGCGTTATTGATTAATAATCGATCAGTTATTCAATATTCCTTAAACTGAGAGAACTGTTTTTAAACATGGACGTGTAGCATCTGTCGTGAAAGCAGCTTTGTTACATTAGTCACTGGGCTATAGGGATGTTGTAGCTTTCTGCTTGCCAAAATGGAACTTCCACAAGTCTGAGCGACCACCTCCTCAGTGTTTGTTGCGCTTTGAAAATTTTGGACCGAGGCAGGCCCTCTTCTTCCAGTCTTTATGCTAATCCAGACTAATCCTTATTTCAGTTTTGTACTCAACAGATACGAGATTAATCTCAATATTTTCAGTTAACAGATGTGCACTGAATTGTTTGAGTTCCTGGGAACAATTGCTCATCACAGGTTGCTTCATGTCTTGTTGACCCTGGATGATTTTTCTGACATAAAGGATATATTTTTATATAAAAATTAAGAGGTGTCAATCTGTACTATTTCCACATATACATCAACTACTTTCTGAAAAGTGCTATTTTAATGCATCACATTGATTATTGCCTACCGTCACACTGCCTACTGAAGTGTTTTCTTGTGGATAAATGTAGTTTTAATACAATGGTAATCATGGTGAGGAAACTGAATACTACATGGGCACTGACTTTCATAATGAGATAATAAACTTTCAGTGTTGTACAATGTTAGTCTGTGGATTGTACAAATGCTATTTTTGTATTTGAATGAAAGTGATATTCTGAAATGTATGGACATTATTTAGAGATTAAACTTTTCATTAAAATGGTTACATTTATATATCTGGGAAGGAAACATCCATTCATCCACCCAGCCACCTATCCATTTTATTCCACTTATTCAGATCAGTCAGGTCTTAGTGGCAGCGGGCTAAGCTGGGCATTCCAGATGTTTTCCAGTTGCTCTAGGGCAGCGGTCTTCAACCTTTTTTGCACCACGGACCGATTTTAAGCAAGAAATTTTTCTACGGACCGGTCATTACGCACATAACAAATAATAATTGTTTTTTTTTCTATTGAAAAGTTTCATAAATGAATAAAATTAATTTTTATTGCTTAATATGTTTACTTTTTCTTCTGTCTCAGCATTAAGTCTCTCCCACTATCCAAAGCAGCTCTCCTGAGACGTTTGTTTTTGACTGACGGCTTCATTTAGCAGCCGGGCATAAAAACTGACAGTCAAGTGCGGGAAATGAGCACAAACGGAAGTGACGGCAAGACGAGCTAGTCATGTTTCAAAATAAAACACCCTGCAGACTCCGCTGGAAATAAAAATAAACCAATAAAACGTTTTTATTCTATTTGTGCGGCCCGGTACCAAATGACCCACGGCCCGGTACCGGTCCGTGGCCCGGTGGTTGGGGACCACTGCTCTAGGGGATTTCAAGGAGTTTCCAGGCCAGATGAGATATGCAGTCCCACCAGTGAGCTCTAGGTCTACCCTGTGGTCTCCTCCCCATTGGTTATCTCTACAAAGCCAAGAAAGGAGACCACCAATAAGGCATTGTAAACAAATGCTTACCTATCAAGCTACCTCAGCTGGCTCCTTTCAAAGCAAAGGAACAGTAACTCTGCTCCAAGCTCTGAGCTCAAGGTTTCATGCTGGAGCCCAGCCACCTGACAAAGAACACTAATTTTTCCCTCTTGCGTATCCGTAGTCTCGCTCATTCAGTCACTAACTAAAGTTTGTGACCATAGAAAGGTGGTATAATGTAGATCAGCTGGTCAATCGAGTGTTCCTCCTGACTCAGCTCCCTCTTCACCATGATAGTAGTACAGTACCACGGCTGCATTGCTGTTGACACTGCACCTATGTGTCTATCTATCTTATGTTCCCTCACAAACAAGATCCTGAGATACTTTGAAACATTTTGTATTAATTTCAAAGCCAACCAGCTGGACATTGATGCAGTCAATCACCTGTTTTGCACTGTTCACTGAACTCACTGTCCCGTTCATGAAACCAGTTTGACTTTTTCTTTGTGACATGGTACAACTTCCTGCTGGATGTAGTAATTAGAAGATGGTAAACTGTGATCATAAAGAGATGTGTGGTTGGTAACAACACTCATATAGGCTTGGGTATTTATACTTTATGTGCCCATCAGCTGAACTAGCAGAGTTTGTGAGTTCAAACTGAAGCACAGTGCAATCAGGAATTTGCCTGAAAGAGCCTTGTGTCACAGCAGTTAGAAATCAGACATTAAAAGGTGCTTTAAGAAAGAACCTTGCACTTAAGAGATGACTCTTAAAACAAAAAGAAAACTGAATATAGAGAAATATTCAAAAACACTTTATTAATGACTCAGGTCATGAAACTGTTTAATATTTTTATTGTTGAAAAAATAATGAGTAGAGGGACTTGTACTGCTTGAGTTCCTCTCATGTACACTGATATTTTCTGTTCTGCTTCAGGCTCATTATAAGACATGTTAAATCCAGTTTATCAAAATTCAAACACTCTTTAAATTCCACAGTGAGGCGTTCCAGAGCTCATTGTCTAGACAGGGTTCACAGAGCAGTCCATGTTGAGTTCCTCGCTCAACCATTAATGTGTTGGACTTCACAGAGATCCGACACTGGGGAGAGAAGCTGAATTTGAGCTGCCAGTTTTCAACAGGTTTTGTTTTCATGATACTAACACCAAACCACAAGCACTCACACGGTTTAATCCCAGTCAGCCATAGTAACTGCATTTACACCTTAAAGTTGGCATCAGGCATTGCATCAAGACACTTGATGGATCAGTGTTGTTTCTCAGAAGAACAGTGTTGGAGGATACTGCAGCCAACCTGAACCACACATGGACACGCAGAGAGAAGTGTGTATACAGCAAACTTTCAGTAAAACCAGCTGGACAATATGTTTGCAAGACACTTTTTTTGTCCTCTAATGCTGCATCTCTGTCAAAAGGGAAAGACTGTTAAAATAGAACTCATCTTGGCTTTGAACTGGTAACTGCAGCTCAGCTTAGTAAACATCTGATAAATGCAGTAAGAACAGACACTAACAATGAAACAATATTTGGAGTATTTCAAATCACTGCTGTCTATTTTTAAAAGCACCCAAACAGATTTTAGACTGAGTTGAGCTGCTGGTTTCACATCACTTCAGTGTGCTATGAAATGCTTAGTTAACACTTTCTTTGCATGTGCTGCAGCATATTCAGTTGTTGCTCTATGGTGTGTCGTAGTGCAGTGTTGACAATAAATAGGGATAAAATAATGTTTTCAACGAGTCTCTTCACAAACAATTTCTGTTTTTTCTTTTTTGTGAGAGATTATCCTCCAGCTAAAGTTTAAACTGCAATACTGCACTTTTACTTTAAATGGTCACAACACTGAACTTTCACTTTGATTTTTAATTTATTGTAACCTGTATGTACTTTTTGTTTGGGCATGATTCACATACATTTATATATATCATATTCTTGACAATACAGTACAGGATGTACTGTATTTCCAGGTACGCTACAAATGTTTTTGATAAAGGGACTCAGTTGTACATTTAGCCAGCTCTTCATTTTAAGACAGAGCTCCTTCTAAATACTCAATTCAGTCTTTTTCCACTGCAGAAACTTCCTGATTGTTTTAGGGCAGCCATGACCTCTGTGCATGTTCCAACTGCAAGAACCATCCCTGTGGAATCAGGCCCATTTTCAGGGTAAAAAAGAATTCAGACTCCAGTTCAGGTATTTCTGAGCTTACAAACTGCTATGTTGGTCTCAGTGCTGACTGGTTAAACTTGGAGAGGACAAGCGTCATTTTTCTGCCCCTTGATGTCCATATCCTATAGCAGTCGTTCTCTGTCTACCATTACAGCTAACAATGTAAAATTCAATAATTCACCACTAGACCTGGCGTAACATCCTGTAACTACTATTTGTTGATGTTTTAGTGCACTTAGCGTTAACGTTGCAGTTGATGCTGTTGGATCTATACCACAATGGAAACAAATGCTGAAATGACCGATTATGTGGTTGTTCCTGTAAAGGTCCAAGTTCCTGCAGTGGAAATCCACCTAATGCAGTAACCAAATGATTTCAATAAATAAAAGTTGCTTTGAACATGTCTGGCAGTAATGTAGAGTACACCATCTGTAGTGGTATGAAACATGTCACATCACCTTTAAGGTCCTTTTATTGGGGAGCAACTACTTTTACTTACATAATTAGCTCACATGAGAAAAAATGTGCAGAGCAAATGTCATAGCTATTCTATTAGTCTGCATGACAGACAATTAAGATCAAGGAACAAAAACCAAGCCATAATCGATCTGTTAATGTCTTAGAAAACAAAGAAGACAAATCACGTTCTAGCCTCCAACGTTTCCTGGTTCTGAGGAGAGCAGTTCGAATGTAAACAAATGAGTAGAGCATTTATAAAGAGAAACTGGAATACAGCTTCACTTTGACTCATCCAAACAGACAATGTCACTGTTGCATCCTAATCATCAGTGGTAAAAAGTCAGAAAAGCCAGGTAATGCACCAGTTTAACATCTGCTGACCACACCTGGACTGATACTCGTGTTACATCTTCATGGACCCCTCTGTCCCAGTCAGTGCGGTCCCTTCTAAAGACAGGTAGATAGGACACAGTGTGAGAAACAAGCATGTACTGAAGTCTTATAGCTTTCCAGTATTGGTAAAAGTGCATCAAGACATCATATTGTAACATCCTGGGGCAGAGGAGGTGGGCAGCGTTAGCCACAGGCAAATCTACACTCTTCACTGACTGTTCAGAAACTTCTGTCCTGCATCCTGGAACAAATTTTATTCCACTTCAAAGCAGCCAGTTCTCTAATTGTTTAGAAGGCTGCAGATAGAGGTCAATATCAATCTACATGGCAGTAATCATATTTAAGCACGTTTTCGCGCATGTCCTACAAATTGCATTTAATTGATCTAATGAACTTGTCCTTTTCTACCTTCAGGCAGACAAGCTTCTGTGGGAAAATTAACAGAATTAAAACATATTTAGTTAAAAGCAATTTATAAGCGCATTTTTTTTACACAAAGACATTATAAAGTGTTTTGCATTTAATGACGCAGTATAAATATCAAAGTTTAAAAAAAACAAAAGCTAGGCAATTACTCTGTTTCCTTAGTCTGTCTTCACATGCTGAATGAATGAAACATACATTTTTAAATCCCTTTGACCTAATTTTCATTCAACAAAACAGTTTTCCTTTCATGGCTGTATTTTTTAGATGAATGAGCATTCCAATCTCTACTTCTTAGGGAATTCAATTTTTGAAAAGTTTTTAGCAGTAAAAAAACACCTGAAAACTGTAAATAAAGTATTGGGGAATGAAAGGTAGACACGGGATGATCAAATATACAGTAATTACATTTTAAAAGCCCTTCAAGATGTATGATGCAATCCAGTCTTAACATCTAGTAACTATTACAGCACCTAAAGACAGGGTGAAGAAACAAAGTGATGATGATACAATCACTCTTTTATATTGCAGTTTTAAATACAAATGTAAATCTGTCATATTTTTTAACCGATCATTTTACTAAGTGATAGAATTATAGTTATGACAATTAAAGTCATTCAGTGATTCAGACTTTTAAAATCAGTCTGCACATAAATTGTTACAAAACATGTAAATGCAGACATGATGTGAAACTGACATCTGAAGGACATCTGGAAGGACAAAAAGTAATCTAAAATGTTATGGCCTGCTTCGTCTAATAGGCTGTAATATAAAAAAGAAACAACATGTAGTAAATGTGACCAACAGCCTGTAAAAGAACCAATTTAAACAGACTAAAATGCTGGTGTTTGGAATCTCCTGAACATTCCATATAATATCAGAAACATAGTGATGTGCTGTTGGTAACACTGCCCACCTACACTGAAACAAGCAGCCTCAGTATCATGACCTGACTTCATGAGTTTTACAATGACTGAATGGAGTTAAAGTTGAAATCACTGTGACTTAAGCAATGACTATCCATCAACAATGCCCTGTATCATATGCCTGATATGGTTTTTCTTAGTTATCTGTGAAATGACGGGCTAGAAAATCAGAAAGGAGATTCACAAAGCTGCCAAAATGATCAATATTCAATAGTCAAAAAAAAGAGACCACATTGAGACATCAACAGAAAACAAGGCAGTGATTAAAAAACAAACAAAAAAACAGTTCTCATTCCCGTAAACATCCTTTAAAAGCCTCCTAAAGGTTCCTCTTGATTATTGTCAGACACATTATCATGTTTAATAAAAAAGAATCAGTGTTAAAGAAAATATTGTACTCTAATAGCTTCCTGTTTCTTTTGGTTCTCGTTAAAACCAAGACACATCTAGCTGAAATAAACTAAACAAGATCAAGATTTTCATATTGTTCATTATATTCATATATTACAGGCTACATAACTGAAGAGGCTTGTGCATATTACTGGTTAAAATCAGGAGGGCTCGTGGCAGACTGGGGCAGTGAGATTTAACATGATGCTTAAAAGCAGCTCCAGTGTTAGCGTAGAGAGCAGAGGCTGGACTGCACACAGCAGCACCAAAACTAAAGACAAATGCTCTGAAATAAAGAATGACGAAGTCAAATCTATTTACAGCAAATGGTCTTAAAAACACGCAGATGACTCCTCAAATCATTGACAGGCCCTTCTTCTGTCCTGATGCGCAGAAGTTTTTATTTACCGCCATCGCCCTGGACAGAAGGGTTACACTAATCTGTATTTGGACGTTTTAAATGTCCCTGAAATAGTGAAATGGGTGAAAGGACTTCAAATGATTTACATTAAAGGAAAACAAGGAGCTTATCTCCGGCTGTTAGACTTCTATACTTTATAGATGGAGTCATTCTTTTTGTGACCTTGACATAAACTCAAGGCAAAATGCCAAATATCTGCACAACTAAAAAGACTTTCAGCTTCAAAATTTATGGTGAGAATTGGAAACAGCCATTTGACAAAGCTAAAATTCTACCCCAAGCTCCACTAACCAGGTTTTTCCAGAGCTTTTAGACATCTCATTGAAGATCAACACATGACGCTTGTAGGGCTGGACCCGAATAGCCAAATACCCAAATATTTGGTCGCTGTGCCGGTATCGGGATAGCAATTTTGATCTCCAAATATTCTGGGTCTTAGTCAGCCTTCAACCTTTAGTCAATGGCTAAATTACATGCTATTGAATTGTTCTCCAGTGAAATTAGTGTAAAAAAGATATGCTGACTTTTTTGTCACCTACCACCAGTACTCTGACATTTCTGCCCATCTGTGCCAAGCCAAAAACACACAAACACAAAAAACATGACATAAAACCATTCAGTTGCTGTCTTTCTTTCTTTCTTTCTTTAGCATTCTGTCACTTTTTGAGTCTGTCAACTGACTCTTGTTAAAGCAGCATGTATCACACGTCTTTTTACTACAATCTTAAAATCCTTAGGGAAGTTAGGAAGTTGTATCATATTAGTTTATGTCATTTAGTACAACATGTTATTTATGGCCAAAAAAAAACAACCCCCCCCAAACCAAACAAACAAACAAACAAACAAAAAAAACAAACCCACAAATAATCAATCATCTCTTCAGGATATGGGAAGGAAATGGCTGATTTCCAATTGTTTCCCAGTTACAAATAAATTCATTCCATTATAATAACTTAAAATCACAGAATAACTCGTTGTTAATGCTAGAGCAATGGCACTGGCGTCCAACATGAGCATGAACAATGTACAGGTATTACATTAGCAATATAATCCTGTTGCTAAACCCAGGACAGAAAGGGAGGGGAACCAGACAGCACAGGCTGTTAAAACGACAGGTGATTTGGCAGCTAAACATATACAACAACAATTAAAACAGCCACAGTAGAAGACAATACTTTATGTGTAAGCTCTAAGAGGTCAAAAACGCGACTCAAAGGTCAACATTGATGAGATAAGGTCAATTATGAGATAAGATGAACATCAACTATATAAAACAACTGTTCTCAACTGAACTAGACAGCATGAGGATCAGATCTTGCTGAGAGGATAATAGGAGTAATAATAAGTATTTTTTAACAGTAAATACCTGAGTTAAATACTTGTAGACAGTGGTTTAAACAAGAACACAAAAGGACGACCCGACTTAAATTTCAACTTTCTTCAGGCTTCTTGTTTTACCACATGCTCTCAAACTTTAAGCCTCAATGAGCCATTCTGAATCCAGATGAACTGTGGCATCTGTTTCCCAGCCCTGGTATGTTTGTCATTTCACTGTATACTTGTAAACATAAATGAACCAGATCCAGTTAACCACTGTGGATGAGTGTAGGTGCGGCTGGGTGACCAGCGTGTCACGATCAAATTGGACTGAGCCATATCTAAAAGTAGTGTTGGTAGTTTACAAGGCCGACTGCATGATCTGATAGCATGAGGATTGATCATAAAATACCGAGACCGTTCCTCGTGCACGTGCATCAAACATGTCACATTTACACACATGAAAACTGTGTGAGTTATAACTGACAGAAGTTTGGATGTTGCACGACACCACATATCAACAAGGTGCGTCAGTATCTTCCTGAGGTGTCTGAGGGAGAACATTTGGGCAAAACCACCTGAACTATAGCACGAAGGCAGGTAGGTGCTCTGGAGCACAGGGTCACGTGACATCCTGACTTATGAGAGCTACAGCTCATACATGTTGCACGTGCATGACTGTGACGTGCTCAGTGTCTGTGCAAGAGAAATGCTCTTGTATTTTTATGATCAACCCTTGCACACATCGTAAAAAACAAACCAAACAATTTCTGACATTCACTTTGTATTCACTAAAACTGAAAAATCTATTTTCATGATGATAACTTTTTATATAACACGGATCAAATCCCACTCCCGTGGCGCCACTATCCTTGAACAGCCTTCAAAAAATTCCTGTTCAATGTGGGGACTCACTGCCAGCCCATAAAATCTTAACAGCTACTGAGCCTGCACATCAGCATACCCATGACCCCTGACAGAAAGGATGAGGAATTGGTCTGCCCGAGGAATTTATGAATGGATTATGTGAGACATACAAATCCATTTTTGATTCTTAGTTTGCTACTAATAGGTTGTGCTGCCACAATGGTACAAAAAAACAGAAAATATTATATGGTCAGAACTGTAGAAAAATCTCTGATGTTGACAAATTCTAATGGCTCCACACTATGTATTGTCACCTCATCCACCCCTCATCTGAGGTGTATTGAATTTAATAAAAACCAAGGAATTATTTTCAGTGGCCATGGTGTCAAAATATAACAAGCAAACCCCTTTTTCAGCTGAATGGACCACAGGGGAAGCCATGTGACACTGTGGCGCCTGTGAGCATCAGTAAACTATCAGCTGAAGATGTTGTGTTCAAGTACAGGGTCGTAATGCCTTCATAGATTGATTAGTGCATGAAGAGCTGCTAATAACAGCTATCAGCCTCTACTACCTCCACTCTGCTCACAAGACATCCAAACAAAGAGAAACACACTGACAGACCATCACAATCTTGTGAGATGATGATGATGGTGATTTTGTTTTGATTTAATATTCACTTCTTTGACTTTTCCTTTGCTCCTCTGAAGATCTGTATCTTTTGAGAAAAAAGGAGGGTTGACATGAGGAGACACTAGTTGTTTGAGCAGGTAAGGGGAAGCTCTACGCAGCGTCACAGAGCATTTGCTCCAGCACTGTCAGCAGGTGTTTTAGGCCATAGATGTAGCCATGATCATGGCTGTCACTCGGGAAAACGTGGGCAAAATCGATCATCCTGACCTCAACTTGCATGTCCCCTGTACCCCCATCCATTGCATCACCCCCTCGTCCTTTCAACTGCTCCTCTCTCCTCCTGCTGCTGCTTCTGTCTTTGCTCTCTTCATCCTCATCCTCCCCTTCCAGTTGTGATTTGTTTCCATTTCCATTAGGTGCTTGTTGCAGCTCCACTCTTCGTTTCCATGCAGAGTTGTCTTCTTCCCACAGTGCTGAGATGTTATCTCCAGAAACTGAGCATTCTGTATTCTGCCCAAAACTACCATCTCCGCTGCTGCTGTGGAGATGACCCTTGGCACTGTGGTGGTCGCCACCTTTCCTGTGATTGGTGTAAATAGCGGTGGCCAGGCTGTAGTCCCAGGGCACTGCCACCTGAATGTTGTTGTTGTTGTACTCAGCCATCCCCTCCTCCTGCCCTGACCCTTCCTGTTCAGCTTTTCCCTCCCCACCACGTTCACAGGCACCGGCCATTGTGGTGGTTTTCATCGTAGTTGGACTGATCGTTGAACTGCTGAGGAGGGAAGAAAGAGAAGACGAGGAGAAAGGAGAGGAAAGGCCCTCGTAAACAAAGAGAAGGGAGCTCGCATAGAAGGTGAGCTGCTGCTGGGACTCGAACCACTGGAGGATCTGCTGTACTCTGCGGATGCTAGCCGACAGTGCATCCTTCCTCAAACTCACTCCATTATGGAAGAATTTAGCCAACCCTGGAGGGGAGGTGAGAAGACTTGGGGTTAATCCTCATTACTCAGTGGCTGTCCTCTCAGCACATGTGTGATGTGTGATCACCTGAAGCTTCACTCTACAGCCAGTTGTAATAAAGTAAGTAAGTGTGTGTACTAAAGGACACTGGGGATGCAAGTTGAAAACATTTTTTTTTTAAGCTATAGTCAACTGCATTATCAATCAATAATTAATGAATCCTTCAATTGGACTAAGTACAGTGAAAAATTCTTCCAAATGCTGATAAAGCCATTTTTCACCACGGAGATTACACATTCGTAGCAAACTCCAAACAGGTGTAATAACCACTTGACTTCAGAAGATTGTCCTGGTGAACTTTGGCTTATTTTTAATAAATCTGGCCAAGCCATTAACTGCCACAGAAGTCTTTGTCATGGTAGCTAAACCTCTGCAGTGATCTCTGCTTGCCAAAACAAAACAGCCCATAGCTCGAGGAACCACTTAATCAGGTACAGCATTAAACAGTAAGAGACCACCTGGAGGTGCAACCAGGTACTACAGCTACTGTACAATACATTTTCTCACTTGCATCTCCCTTATATTCTGATTCATTGCTTAATATATTTGTAATTGGTTAAAATGTCGGTTAAATTATTAACCACAATCAATCAGTCAACTAATCAATAACATCCCTTGTGAAAACCTTTGGTAACAATAATCAAGTCTATAATACTATAAACTTTATTCATAAAGCACTTAAAGACAAACAGTTATTGAACAAATACAAATGAAGACAAACAGAAACAAACAGAGGGATCAAATATAATAGGAAATTAAATTAAGTTTAAAAATATAAAACAGCAAGAGCAGGACTAAAGAGTCCTAAAGAGGGTCTTTGGAGGGGACTGTAGCTTGTCTGGACAATATTTCACACAGCCAAATGCAAACGTATGCACACTTACCGTCTTTAATGGTCTCCTTAACCAGTCCCCTTCCATAGTGCTGGTCATAGGTGTCAAAAGAGTCACTGCACATCTTATACACCTGAAATACCAGAAAATACTTGATGTTAACGTGTCTGTACTGCATTTGTATTTGCCTTTCAAAAGTAAGTTAAAGTGTGTTCAAAGATCTTGACTAAAGTGCTGATTCCATCTACTGGTTCACAGGTACACAAACAAATGCCTCCATGACTCACCAGATCAAATCATAAAAGAGCTTCTTATGTGGTTACAGAATTATTCCAAATAGAAAGAAGACAACTGTATCTGCAAAAAGTCCTTCAGCCCAAACCTGAAAAAGTGCAGCTTATTAACAGTTGACTGGATCATCAGCCAAGACGTTTTTGGCCTGAACACCAAACCTAAACTCATTTTATGATACAACTGGCTTCTGTTCGTTGATAGATAATGAAAGAGTGTTGTGCTTTACTACACTGCTCAAAAAATAAAGGGAACACTAAAATAACACATCCTAGATCTCAATGAATGAAATATTCCAGCTGAAAAACGTTATTCATTACATAGTGGAATGCGCTGAGAACAAAATAATATAAAATGATCAATGTAAATCAAAATTATTATCCCATGGAGGTCTGGATTTGGAATCATACTGAAAATAAAAGTGGAAAATTACATTACAGGCTGATCCACCTTCAGTGGAAATTTCTCAAGACAAGTCAAAATGAGGCTCAGTAGCGTGTGTGGCCTCCACGTGCCTGTATGACCTCCCTACAACGCCTGGGCATGCGCCTGATGAGGCGGCGGATGTTCTCCTGAGGGATCTCCTGCCAGACCTGGATTCAAGCATCAGTCAACTCATGGACAGTCTGTGGTGCAACATGGCATTGGTGGATGGAACAAGACATGATGTCCCAGATGTGCTAAATTGGATTCCGGTGGAGAACAGGCAGGCCAGTCTATAGCATCAATGCCTTCATCATGCAGGAACTGCTGACACACTTCAGCCACATGAGGCCGAGCATTGTCATACATCAGAAGGAACCCAGGGCCCACTGCACTAACATATGGTCTCACAATGGCTCTGAGGATCTCATCCCAGTACCTGATGGCAGTCAGGGTACCTCTGGCTAGCCCATGGAGGGCTGTGCGGCCCTCCAAAGAAATGCCTCCCAACATCATTACTGACCCACCGCCAAACTGGTCATGCTGGAGGATGTTACAGGCAGCAGATTTTTCTCCTCATCGTCTCCAGACTCTGTCACGTCTGTCACATGTGTTCAGTGTGAACCTGCTTTCATCTGTGAAGAGCACAGGGCGTCAATGGCGAATCTGCCAATCTTGGTGATCTCTGGCAAATGCTAATCACCCTGCACGGTGTTGGGGTGTAAGCCAAGCCTCACTGGTGGGACATCGGGCCCTCATACCACCCTCATGGAGACTGTTTCTGACAGTTTGAGCAGAAACATGCATATTAGTGGTTAGTGGCCTGCTAGAGGTCATTGTGCAGGGCTCTGACAGTGCTCCTCCTGTTCCTCCTTGCACAAAGGAGGAGGTAGTGGTCCTGCTGCTGGGTTGTTGCCCACCTATGCCCCCCTCCACATCTCCTGGTTAACTGGCCTGTCTCCTGGTATCTCCTCCATGCTCTGGACACTGTGCTAAGAGACACAGCAAACCTTCTTGCCACAGCTCACATTGATGTGCCATCCTGGATGAGCTGCACTACCTTAGCAGCTTCTGTGGGTTGTGGACACCGCCTCATGCTACCTCTAGGGGTGAGAGCACTGACGAAATGCAAAAGTGACCAAAACATCAGCCAGAAAGGATAAGAACAGAGACATGGTCTGTGGTCACCACCTGCAGAACCACAATAGAGGTTGTCTTGCTAATTGCCTCTCAGTTCCACCTGTTGTCTGTTCCATTTGCACAACAGCAGGTGAAATTGATTCACAATCAGTGTTGCTTCCTAACTGGACAGGTTGATTTAACAGAAGTGTGATTGACTCGGAGTTACATTGTGTTGTTTAGGTGTTCCCTACTGTTTTTGTAAAACAGTAAATTTAAAAGTTCATGGATACCAATAATAATTATATTTTAGCATTAAAAACATCATTTTGGTTAAAGAGCTTCTAAACATTACAGAAAAAAATGATTTTGATAATTACCAATGCTGTTAATTTGGGGAGGCTGTGGCATAAACCTGACATTGGGTGGTGGTCTAATATATTTGTTGAGCACTGAATAAGACTTCTGTCCATGAACATATTGCCACAGTGCATACTGGGAGGAATTCCAAAACGTCTACATCATGTAACTGCAATCACATAATCAGCATACAACTGAGCACATGAATGCTGATTATTGTTTTAAAACCTGTACTAATTTGTCATCCTTTAAAAATTAACTGCACTATTATTCAAGACAATTCCATCGAGGATAAACTATCAAACTGCATTCACAAAGTCAGAGTTGCTGGATATGAGTTAACAGGATCTTTTTAGTCTGACAATAGCATGCTAGTCGGAATTAATTAGGACATATTTGATGAACACGGCTCAAGTCTCTGCTGTTTTCCTTTCAGTTTCTCTCCAACTCCCTTTTTCCCCTCTGTTATTCCCCCATCAGGAAGATCATAATCGCTAATTAGTCTCCGTTCCAGCTAAACAAACACTTAGCAGAGATTAGAAAGGGAGTTTACCCAGCTCAGTGCCAAGCACATTGTGTTCTAAAAGGTATACTACAGCTTAGGCTGGCCCTATGCAAGTGTTCTCTATAAATCTTAAACCACCCCCGGGTAGAGCGGGTTGTCCATCGCAAGGTTGGTGGTCTGATCCCCGCCCCTCCACAGTCGAAGTGTCCTTGGGCAAGACACTAAACCTACAGTTGCTCCTAACGGCAGGCAGCAACTTGCATGGCAACTCTGTCTCCTCTAGTGTATGAATGTGTGTGTGAACGGGTGAATGAGAAAACACACTGAAAAGTGCTTTGAGTAGCACTGAGGTAGAAAGGAGGTATATAAGTGCAGACCATTTACTATTTACTGGCAACATGTGAATTAAAACCTACAGAACTGCATTAAAATGTGTTTGTTTACCAGAGAGTAAAACTTTTTTCAATGACACCAAATACTATTTGGTACCCAGGATGGATGCATACAGATTACGAGAACTGTGAGGGATTACAATTTTTTATGTATTTGGACCTCCTTTGGAACCAATTTTTTTCTATCTTGATTTAAATTTGTTTTCCTGATTACTGTTGTAGCCAAGTAACAATCTGAGTTGACTTTTGAGTTTTTATATTCTGTGGTATTACAACTTTTGCTTTTGCTTCTGCTTCTACCTCCCAGGGTCAGCTGACCAAGCTGTAAACACAGATTTATTCTCATGATGACTATTATTCTAAAGGTCACACTTCCTTTGGCTCTGTTTTTGATTCCTGAGGAAAATTGTCGCCATTTTCAGCTAGTAAATCCTTGACTAGTTGCTGAAGTTGTGATAATACGCAGACATGGACAGCTATAGACAGCTGCAGACACCGTGGACATAGTTGTTACAGCTACAGAGCAGTGCACTACTGCCCTTGTAGAGCGGTTGTAGACACAAATTTTGGGTTGCATTCAGAGGGGTCTATGCATACTCCTGTGCACATAAGAAATTTATGTCAAAATCTGTCACATTCACCCTAGCAGACCCTCACAGATTTGATGAAACAGAAAGTATAAGGCCAGATTTATAGTTACCATGTCTGTGAATATACAAGAGTCTGCAAAGCACATTTGTTGTCGTCCCAAGTCTGTAAGCGTACCTGCAGACCTGTTTGCAAATGTACACATGCTGCCCAAACTTTTGGTGTGTTCCATACTACTATACTATACGCACGTGGACAAAATTGTTGGTACCCCGCGGTTAATGAAAGAAAAACCCACAACCATAACAGAAATAACTTGAATCTGACAAAAGTAATAATAAATAAAAATTCTATGAAAATTAACCAATGAAAATCAGACATTGCTTTTGAAGCGTGCTTTAACAGAATTCTTTTTTTTTAAATAAACTCATGAAACAGGCCAACAGACAAAAATGATGGTACCCTTAACTTAACATTTTGTTGTACAACCTTTTCAAGGAATCACTGCAATCAAACGATTTCTGTAACTGTCAATGAGACTTCTGAACCTCTCAGCAGGTATTGTGGCCCACTCCTCATGAGAAGACTGCTCCAATTGTCTCAGGTTTGAAGGCTGCCTTCTCCAGAAGGCATGTTTCAGCTTCTTCCACAGATGTTCAATAGGATTTAGATCAGGGCTCAAAGAAGTCCACTTCAGAATAGTCCAATGTTTTCCTCTTAGCCATTCTTGGGTGTTTTTAGCTGTGTTTTTTGGGTCATTATCCTGTTGCAAGACCCATGACCTGCAACTGAGACCAAGCTTTCTGACACTGGGCAGCACGCTTCTCTATAGAATACCTTGATAGTCTTGAGAGTTCATTGTACCGTGCACAGATTCAAGACACCCTGTGCCAGATGCAGCAAAGCAGCCCCAGAACATAACGGAGCCTCCTCCATGTTTCACAGTAGGGACAGTGTTCTTTTCTTGATATGCTTCATTTTTGCGTCTATGAACATAGAGCTGATGTGCCTTGCCAAAACGTTAAAGTTTTGTCTCGTCTGTCCATAGAACATTCTCCCTGAAGCTTTGTGGCTTGTCAACATGCAGTTTAGCAAATTCCAGTCTGGCTTTTTTATCATTTGTTTTAAACAGTGGTGTCCTCCTTGGTCGTCTCCCATGAAGTCCACTTTGGTTCAAACAACGACGGATGGTGCGATCTGACACTGATGTACCTTGACCTTGGAATTCACCTTTAATGTCTTTAGAGGTTGTTCTGGGCTGTTTTGTTACCATTCGTATTATCTGTCTCTTTGATTTGTCATCCTGCGGCCACGTCCAGGGAGGTTGGCTACAGTCCCATGGATCTTAATTTCCGAATATGTGCAACTGTAGTCACAGGAACATCAAGCTGCTTGGAGATGGCCTTAGAGCCTTTACCTTTAACATGCTTGCCTATAATTTTCTTTCTAATCTTCTGAGACAACTCTCTCCTTTGCTTCCTCTGGTCCATGTCACCAAACAGGACAGTGACTACTTGTAACGCTATAAATAGGCCGACTGACTGATTACAAGTTTGTAGACACCTGTGATGCTAATTAGAGGACACACCGTGATTGAACATGTCCTATGGTCACATTATTTTCAGTTTTTTCTAGGGATACCGTCATTTTTGTCAAGGCCTGTTTCATGAGTTAATAATAATTCTGTTGAACTACGGTTCAAAAGCAATGTCTGATTTTCATTGGTTAATTTTCATTGAATTTTTATTTATAATTACTTTTGTCAGACTCAAGTTATGACTGTGACCGTTGTGGGTTTTTCTTTCATTAACCGAGGGGCACCAACAATTTTGTCCACGTGTGTATGTCAGGAAAAGGTTTAGCATGTCACATTGCATAGTATGTCAAAAGTAGTATACCAAAAATAATTTTTTGTATTTGTACCAGTTGCATTTTGTGGTATACGTGTCAGCATGCTTGTCTGGCCATTATGACACACAATCCTCTGCGCAGTAGAAAATTCATCACATAGGTGACGGTGTCTTGCTACCAAGCTCAAGTTAGCAAGACCACACAAACAAGTGATTCCATGTTGCAGATTGCCAGGGATATGTGAGTAAAAATGTTGAAGGCTTAAGGCACAATGTTTGGAAAAAGCAGTATGTCCCCATTGTCCTCATACAACATCCAACAGTCACTGAAAGTGGAAAAAAAAGTTTGTGAATGCTGGATATGGAATCCAGGGATGTCGGAAGTATACTGCAAGGGCAGCAGTGCGCGTGTACAGAATACGTGGATTCAACCTATTGCACTCTGCATTCTCTTGATGAGCTTCAAGAGGTAGTCACCTGAAATGGTTTTCACTTCACAGGTGTGCCCTGTCAGGTTTAATAAGTGGTATTTCTTGCCTTATAAATGGGGTTGGGACCATCAGTTGTGTTGTGCAGAAGTCAGGTGGATACACAACTGATAGTCCTACTGAATAGACTGTTAGAATTTGTATTATGGCAAGAAAAAAGCAGCTAAGTAAAGAAAAACGAGTGGCCATCACTACTTTAAGAAATGAAGGTCAGTCAGTCCAAAAAATTGGGAAAACTTTGAAAGCGTCCCCAAGTGCAGTCGCAAAAACCATCAAACGCTACAAAGAAACTGGCTCACATGAGGACCGCCCCAGGAAAGGAAGACCAAGAGTCACCTCTGCTGCGGAGGATAAGTTCATCCGAGTCACCAGCCTCAGAAATCGAAAGTTAACAGCAGCTCAGATTAGAGACCATGTCAATGCCTCCACAGTCACCGGACCTGAACCCAATCGAGATGGTTTGGGGTGAGCTGGACCGCAGAGTGAAGGCAAAAGGGCCAACAAGTGCTAAGCATCTCTGGGAACTCCTTCAAGACTGTTGGAAGACCATTTCAGGTGACTACCTCTTGAAGCTCATCAAGTAAATGCCAAGAGTGTGCGAAGCAGTAATCACAGCAAAAGGTGGCTACTTTGAAGACAAATATTCAGTTGTTTTGCACTTTTTTGTTAAGTACATAATTCCACATGTGTTAATTCATAGTTTTAATGCATTCAGTGTGAATTTACAATTTTCATAGTCATGAAAATAAAGAAAACTCTTTGAATGAGAAGGTGTGCCCAAACTTTTGGTCTGTACTGTATGTCATGGAGTCCTACAAGTGGACTAAAAAAGTAGCATAATAGCAATAACTGCTAATGTGACTATAATCAAGGCTTAACACAATCAGCTATTTGGCAGTGGGCGGGCACTGCAAAGTGAATTTGTAGGAGCTTTTGCAGCTGCAAAACAAAGTTAAGTAGGGCAGAGGTGCTGAGCCAAAGCTTAGAGATCCGAGAGGCTCCAAAACTTGGTAGAGCAGAGAGGAACTGCAGAGTCTGTGTAAATATCGGTCAATACCAGCAACACATTTCAAACTATAAATAATAACAATTTGTTCATAAAAAAACATGGAACAGTGTGGGAGTTTAGTATATTCTCTAAAACTCATTAGAAGAATCTAGTGAATTCAGCCCCCTGTTCAGTACAGTTTTTAAATACAAAGCTGTACTACTTTGTCAAATATTAACGTTCACTGCCGTATATTAACCTTCACCAGTCAGAACACTCAGCTGAAGTCCACTTTACATTTTTGAGCAGTTTACAAAGGGTGTGGAAGGGCAGCCATAAATCTGCTGTCCACACAGCAAAAGGACAAGCCATCAGTTAATATGTTGTTTCTTCACACAAAGACTGGCATTTAGAAATATGTTATTTCCTTAAAACACAGTTCATGAGCTCTCCACTCTAAATTGTACGCACCTTCTCCCACTTCCTTCCAAACTACTTATGAAAGAGGCTGGTGTTCAGACTGACCCTGCTCAAAATTATGCGCCTGTGGATAAATATCTACATTTACAGCCTTATGGACCTCTAAGACTTGACCGTCCAACTCAATAGGTTTAAATGGACAACTTTCTGAGAACATGCCCAAAAAAATTATATGGTCTATGGAGCATTTCATTGTGGCAATTATTGGGTTTTCAAAGGCAAATGATGTGTTTCACAGTAAACTGAGAACTGTGTTGACATATGTTCAATTAGTTCATTCCAAATTAGACTCTTGGTCAGCGCACAGTAGCTTAGCATGCCACTTTCGCGCATTTCATTCACCTGTCCAGAAAAATTTCAAATTTATATTAATGCCTTAATCATAATTTGTTCAGCAAAGTATGTGAGTTCTAGTATAACACCGCCTCCAATCAATAGCCAGGGTTTCATTTTACTATTCACAGCCCAATGATTTTATAAACATTTTGAAGAACACAGAAACCAGTTCATTTAGCTCAGTTTGAGTTTCTGTTTGTGTTGCTGCCGGCAGGAAAAAACAAAAACAAAACACTTAGTGATGATGACGCTGACAGGAGATTGTGATGGAAACTGATCAAAGTGATAACGGTTTTGCTATTTAACTCTCTTCCTTTCAGACAGAGAATTTGTCTCTGTCTTTCCTGTCATCTGTTTGTTTTTTTCATGTGGAAAAAAAAATCGTGTGTGTGTGTGTGTGTGTGTGTGTGTGTGTGTATACACTATTTCTGTGAGGACCACTTTGAGTTTTAGACTATTCCACTAAGAACAGTTTGGTAAAGTGACCAACTTCTGGCCGGTCTTTTTCACACCCTGTTTAAGGGTTATGTTTTAGGGCTAAAGTTAGAATTAGGTTCAGATTTGGGTTACTGCTGGGATTAGGTACTTAGTTGTGATGGTTACCTTTAGGGTAAGGTTCTAGGATTATGTCAGTTCAACATTCAAATGCAAATGCAAAATCTCCAACTGATTCAAAAGCATGCAGCCAGAGCACTGAAATCAACTAACAGGAGAGATTTCCTAAACATTCACTTTTCTTCATTGGCTCACTGTAAAATCCAGAAAAGAATTTTAAATCCTTCCACATACAAAATCCTTAATGACCATACTCCGTCTTATCTTACACTTCATAGCTCTCAGACGCAGGTTTGCTTGCGGTTCCTAGAGTTTCCCAAAGAAGAGGAGGAGGCAGAGCCTTCAGTTATCAGCTCCTCTGTTGTGAAACCAGCCCTAGTTTGGATTCCGGAGGCAGACACCCTCTCCACTTTAAGCATAGGTGTTAAAGTTTTCATTTGCTTAAAGCTAATAATTAGGTGACCCTACTGGGATAGTTCCCATGATGCACCTCATGATTAAATACTGTCCACTGTGCAGGACATTAAGCCGTTAAAAACTCTTTCATCTTAATTTTAAAATGTCACAAAAGACATGTTCTTTTTAATTTCGACACCAAAAGAGTTTGGGAACATGCCAATGTAATGTAATGTAATATTTTCTCCACTCGAATATTGTCCTCTATACAGCAGATTTAGTCTCTGAAAATGGAACAACTGATGTTTTTCTCAGGTTTCTTTTCAATTTTTTTTAAACATTGCATTTTCATTTTGACACCAAAAGAGTATGGTAACAGGTAAATGTAAATGGATTGTAAATGGAAATACCATGCTTACTGCATAAAAACATTGTCTACTGTGCAGATGGTTCAAATTCCCTTTTCATTTTAATATGGTCATACAATTATGCCAAAATGAAAATGGATATTTGGATTATTAAAATTAAATTTTACTCAAATAAGGCATAATATATAAACAGTTGAAACCAGTTTACATACACTGTATAAAAAGACACATAACCTTTTTTTTCTCTCTCTATCATTAAATGTGACTAAACTTTTCCTGTTTTACGTCAGATAGGATTACCAAAATTATTTATATTTGCTAAACCCCTGAAAAATGAGAGACTGAATTTTTAGAGAATTTTTTACTACTTTCTTCAAAGTGGGAAAATCTAAAGAAATCAGCCAAGATATCAGGAAGAGAATTGTGGACCTGCACAAGTCTGGTTCATCCTTGGGTACAATTTCCAGATGGCTGAAGGTTCCACGTTTATCTGTTTAAACAATTATACACAAGTATAAACACCATGAGAATGTGCAGCGATCATAGCGCTCAGGAAAGAGACGGGTTCTGTGTCCCACAGAAGTGTTTTGGTGAGAAATGTGCGTATCAACCCCGAAACAAAAGCAGAAGACCTTGTGTGAAGATGCTACTGAAGCTGGTAAGAGAGAGTCATTACCCATCGTGAAATCAGTCCTGTACCGACATGGGCAAAAAGGCTACTCAGAGAGGAAGAAAATATTATGCCAAAGGCAACATTAAAAAGCCAGATTACGCTTTACAAATGCACACAGAGACAAAGGCCTTCGTTTCTGTAGACATGTCCTGTGGTCTGATGAAACTAAAACTGAACTGTTTGGCTTTAATGACCATCATTACATTTGGAGGAAAAAGGAGGAAGCTTGCAAGCCTGAGAGCACCATCCCAACTGTGAAGTACGGGGTGGCAGCGTCATGTTGTGGGGGTGTTTTGCTGCAGGAGGGACTGGTGCACTTCACACAATAGATGGCATCATGAAGAAAGAACATTATGTGGAAAAATTGAAGCAACTTCTCAAGACATCAACCAGGAAGTTAAAGCTTGGGCACTAATGGGTCTTCAAATGGACAATGACCCTAAGCACACCAAAATGTTTGACCCAAGTCATACAGTTTAAAGGCAAC